ACCAATCTCTTTCCAAGCTAACCAACTCAAAGACACACCCTTCATTTTATAGTGTCAAGGCCAACTCTCAAGTCCTAGGCAAGCGTGTATCGACTCATAATGAGATAAGTTAATATTATTTCTTGAATTTTGGAATTCCTTTCTTTTGGAAAGAAATACAAATACAAAGGATGTCTCTAAAATGAGAACAGTGAAGAGTTAGGAAGGAGAAAGACTTGATTTCATTGTTTTGTCTGGTTTTGATAAAGGTAGAATAGCCTCATTTTTTATATGTGGGTCTTAAGTAATTTTAATGTTTCTTTGTAAATCAATGGTCTTCTGCTTTGTAAGAAAACACCAATGTAGGGGTACCCCTAAAATGGTAATTCCATGACCTATGGATGATCTTAGACATGACATTTAAAACTGAATTAAATAATAACATATTTCCAAATATTTCCAGGACTTAGAAATGATGATGTTATTGGATTAAATTGGTCAATATGCCAAAGTTTATTTCCAGGAAAATGTATAACTTAATTATCTTAACTTTCTCTTATTTTTTTCTTCAAGTTCTGAAATTGCTGATACATGTATGGTGAAAGGTTATTGAGATCAATCATTCATAGAGACATGTTAGGTTAAAATATGGTTTCCTGGACAATTGTCCAACAAGAGTGATATTTGCTTATACGTGTGCTGAAGCCAAACCCTATCGTAAATGTTAAATCATGGCTGTTTTCAGAGGCGGGGGGTTTCCTTAATGTGGAAACCAAAGAACTAGACTTTCAACTCTCACAACATCCTATTTTGTCTGCCCAGTAGGTTTTTCCAGAGTTAAACGCTTGGAAAAACATTTCGCAAAGAAAATGTGAAATGCTTGTTCATGGGAAATCTTTACTCCACCCAGGAAAAGATAAATGGCACTGAAGAATTACTCTTTAAGAGTGAGATGTTTATTGAAATAAGGGAGGCTAATTGTCAAAAATGATGAGAAACAAATGTGAAAAGCCCTGTGTTTGGAGCTCTGGCCACATGGAGCGTTTAAACAAGCATATGCTGTGTTTCAAAAGAAGAGGCATAGTTTTGGAAGCTGCCATTTTTCAGAAAAAAATGTTCAGTGTAAGAATAAAAAAAGAAAAAGAACATGGCTGCTAACAGCAGTTCCAGAACATGGAATAAGAAACAAGGAACATGGCTGCCAACATGATCTTCTCTGAAAGGTTGGAACTCCACTTTGATATCACTTTAGCTTTTTAAAAATATTCACTGACATCACAAACCAGTTCTACTGGAAACATGTATTGAGGGGCTGACGTGATCTCTAGAGATAGGATAGAATTCTGTACAGATAGGAGATGTATAGCTTTGCTTGGCCAAGTTCTCAATCTTTTTAAAGTTTTGCCATGAATTCCCAGACCACTCTAGAAAAGGGTTTCTCAAACTTGGCACTATTGATGTTTTGGACAGATGTTCTTTGTTGAGAGAGGACTGTGCTGTGTGGAGTAGGAAGTTAGGAGAATCCCAGGCCACACAAGAGATGTCAATAGTTGCTTTTGCCCATGACCAAAAGTGTCTCCAGACATGAGCAAATGTCCCTAGGGAGGAGCAAAGGGAAGGGGAGGAATATATAGTCGGCTAGAGAAGGGAATCAGATTTATAGTCACTGCTCTAGAGTTAGGATTTTCAGATAAATTGTGTATTGCCTATTTACAAATGTATTCAGCAAAGGTGTGAAGTTCATGATGCCAGGACAAAGAACCCCTGGTCCTAGAACAGACATCACTAGAAAAAGCCAATAAATCAGAGATGCTTCTATTCCTCTCAGGCAACAAGAACTATTTGTGAAGTTTCTACAGATTGCCTGAAGTCTAAGGTAGTGGGAAATGCACCAGCTTTGGAATCAAATCAACCTGGATTTTGGCCCTGGCTCCATCACTTACCACTACTGTAGTCATGGGCTTATTACTTGACCTCTATGAGCCTCAGTTTTCCTCCTCACAAAATGAAGTCAATACTGATTCCAGAGGATAAGGATTAAATAAAATAGCATATCTTGATACTTGTAGCTTGGTAATGCTCTAATAAATCATCATTTGTTATTATGTGGTGCAATCGCATTCAGGTTCAATGAAATAGGGATGTCATCCTTTTTGTTTAACCAGCAAACCAATTATAACTGACAGATCTCATTAACTTGAACACGTTTGAATAATCATACAGTAGGACCTACAAATAATTAGAGCTCTTTCCAGCTCTGATTCTAACTTGCCTTTAGTTATCCTCATGTTGGATGCACATTAGTCACTTGTTTCTGTGTCATCAGCCCGGTTTTTGTTTTCCGTGGGAGTGCCCAGTGCAACATTCAACATCAACCTAACTGCAGTTGGACTAACCGCAGAGTTGTTTCAATAAACACACAACGTGCTGAGCTGTGTGCATTTAGGAAGGGGCAAATGTTAGCCAAGAGTATCTGATTTGGGGGCTCAACCAGTCCCCCTAACCCAGTGAAAGCATCCCCCCGAAATCATGAAAAGATTCACCTTGCTCAAAGCCTCATTTTAAACAGAAATATACACCAGCCATGTGCCAGCTGCAGGAGAGAGGATGGGGACGCCTCTCACAGCAGTCAAGAGCAGACAGTGATCCAAGTGACAAGAAGAGACAGGCCCATCTGGGACATCTTCTGCTCATTTCTGCTGAAAGACTGTGCTGCTCAGAATGGTGGAAGGGGAGCAATGACTACTATGAAAAACAAAATAGTCTTCCTTACAAAAGCCTCCCAAAGGGTTTGGGATGTTTACAACACTTGGAGAATGGCCAAGCGGGTATGTATTTCAGCACAGCACAGAGAAATGATCAAGCTCAGCTTACAACCTATGGTTCATACATAGGGAAATCGTGCCAAATATCTCCCTAAGAGTGGCGTTCTCTGGGGAGCTCTTTGAAGGATTCTACGAGGCTGATCATTCTTCTGCAATCACCTCCATTTGAGAGATTCATGCAATTCATTGAGTTGTACAACCTCAGGAAGGCCTCACTTGGGGTCCTGAGAGGAACATCTGGGGTCTTCAGCTTGGCTTAACCAAGTAAGCCAAAGGTGCAACCATGGACCCCCCTGCTCCAGCCTCATTGCCCACACAGAGTGGTACCTGCACATTTCTGTTGATGATACCTCCTGGGAGCAAAAAACAGAAATACAACTTTCACTTAGGCCAAAGGAAGAGCTGGCTCAGGCACAGAAGAACCTTCAACCAAATGAAAGGGAATGTTCAAACCCCAACTTTGCAGTGTGAGTTTTGAATAAGATTCTCAGAGGAAGGAGACTGCTTTCTGGGTATGAAAACAATGGATGTCCGTACTTACATTCAGTCATTTCCCACAGATCATTTGAACATACTGCAGCATCAATGCCTTAAATCAGCCCCACTGCCTGTTTTAGTAAATAACGTTGTATTGATATAGCCAGGTCCATTTGGTCATAATGATCTATTGTTGTTTGTGTGCTCCAAGGGCAGAATTAAATGAGTGCCATAGAAGAGATATGGTCTACAAAGATACCCACTATCTGGCTGGCCACAGAAGAAGAAAATACAGACCCCTGCTTAGGGATCATTCGCTTAGGGGTATCTAGATTTAAAATCTGGTTTATGTTAATCCAAAATTGTTACAGATTTAGCAAACCTTTCCAGTCCCTAAATGATTTTTGTTGTTGTTGTTTTTTTAGAAACAAAACTCGTTGTGTATTTATTGCTGTATCTTCCCTGGGATGGTTAGTTGTTTATATCTCTACTTTTTAAAGACTAAAACATATGAGGGAATATATTTACTTTTTTTTTTTTTTTTTTT